GCTAATCTTCTCTGTATCGTTCCAATTTTAACGGATGTCCCGAAGGACACACCAACTCGTTATTTGCCTTTGAAATATTTTCAAAATATTTTTTGGGGCAAGTTACGCCGCAAGTGCAATTATGTCAGAAGACTCAGAACAGAGTTTCCAATGGGCGAAAAAAAAAACATGTGCGGCGGGCAAACAAAACGAGCGCCCAGTTGGAAAGGCAATGAAAGTGCCACAGCCGTGACGGAGACAGACAGGTGTCAGAACTACAGGGATGGACAGGCCTTGATGCGAGAGACGGGGGAGGGGGGACGCAACGGATCTATTTTGACGGAAATTGTGTTTTCGAGTTCTGTGGCTGTTTGTTTACCCCGCACAACGCACATGTTTTTTTTTTTGCCTTTGCGAAGTAAAAACCTGCCTCGTTGTTTCGTTCACGGCTCTTGTGTTCTACATGCATTTGAACTTGGTTGGGCATGGATACAAATCATGATGGGGGATGGGAAAAAGTTATAAAAGACTTGCCCATGGGGACTTCATGAAAGTGTATGCTGCTTTACATCATGACCTGGGGCTAGGTCCCACTTGCACAAATTAAGAGATAGAGACCGTAGATAGCCGAGAGAGATCGACGGCTGAACTCTCCTAATCCGTGCAAGTGGGACCTTGCCCCAGGTAAAACGTCATGGGCGACAAAATAAAAAATGTGGATCAATAGGGAGAACGAAAAAGGAAGAAATGGAAAACCACAAAAGAACTGGAAAAAAAAAAAGAAAAAAAAAAAAAAAAAACAAAAAAAGAAACAAAGAGAGAGAGACAGAGAGAAAAAGAGAGAAAAAAAAAGAGAGAGAGACAGAGAGAGAGAGAGAGAGAGAGAGAGAGAGAGAGAGAGAGAGAGAGAAGAAAAAGAAAAGAAAAAATAAAGTGTAGAACAGACGGACGAAAAAAGAAATGAGGGGGGCCATCAAACGACCGCCAGGCTTTTAATGATCATTGCATTATGGGAATGCTCAAAAGGAGGGAGGGTACAGAATGAATCCAAAACGTATGTCTGCTTCGTGCGAGCAAAGTTTCATATTCCTATACGATAGCCTGCTGCAAAGAGCGTTCTGCATCTGGTCCAGAAACAAACCAAATGCACGTAGAAACACCGGCTTTAATGATATTGAGGAAAATAATCAAATCCCGTCAGAAGGAGACCTTCACACCACCAGTGCAATTCCCAGCCTTTTTTTCAAAATTGCAGCTTTTGCAAGTGCTACCACAATTTTTTGGGGGCCTCGACCGCCAAAGCAAAGCGGCAGGCGGTGGCAGCAGCCAAAGCCAAAAACGGACTCACCCCAGTTCGTTTCTTTTGGTGTGCAGCGCATTCCTGGCCTTGGGAGAAAAGTGCCTCAGCTGATTAAGATATATATATATATATATCGTCATATATATATATATATATATATAGAGAGAGAGAGAGAGAGAGAAAGAGAGTTCGGAATTGGCAGGCTGATAATTTCCAGTGCAGCCTGCTCCCAAAATACTGTTTATTTAACTTATTAAACCATTTATATTCCAGCACAAGTAGAGAGTAGAATTAACACCATGGATTCAAAAGCATTCAAAGTTTCTTGTTTGAAATAATCAAACACATCGGAAAATAAATAAGGTTTAATAAACAGTATTTTGGGTTTAATAATAAACAGTATCATCATTGAAATGCCCCGCCCCAGCAAATTCAGAGAATCAGAACTATTTCATTCTGTTTTTTTTTGTTTATATGTTCATTTTGTTTTTTTTTCCCCAAACCTATGTGGCCATCTGGACTGCAACTCAGATCTGTAATTCATTTTTCTCTTTTTTTTTTCCTTCTTTTTTTAAAGATAGACACATGGCCGGTCGTTTTTTCTTCTTCTTTTCTACTTTTATGTTCCTTTTTTTTTTTCTTACTTTTTCTTTTGTTCCTTTTTTTTTTTCTCGTTTACTTTGCTCTGAAAAAAAAAATGCTCCCTTTCTTCCCATTACCACCTTTTTTTTTTTTTGAAACATCAGCTGGAGGAGCTGCTACGGCCTGCCAGGATAAGAGCGCAGGCCCTCCTCAGTAGGGTTCTCGCGAAGTTGATGCCTCCGGTCTTATTCGTGGGGAGCAGCATGTGCAGGGTGTGTATATGCCGAGATAAGGGACCAGGCCCGCAGTAGGGCCCGCTGTGTTTATGGCTCCGGTCTTGTTCAGGGGGGCTCCAGTCTTATTCACGGGGGGCTCCGGTCTTTTTCAGGGGGAAGCAGCACGTGGTGGGAACCGAATTGGGTTACGAGGCTCTTTCAATGTTGGGGACCGCTTTTTGTTTGTTCGTATGTAAATTTAGTGCTTGGTTCGATTGGGTAACGAGCCGTGAGCCGCTGTTTTTTTTTTGTTTTACTGGTTTTAATTTGGAGCACGCTTGATTTTTGTGCTAAATTAGGGTCTGGTTATGGTGGGTAGGTGCTCAGTTAGGGTTTGTTTTATTGGGCGGGTGTACGACTCTCGGCGTAACGATTGAGAGTGTAATTAGGAATGCAGACCAGCAGATAGGTAGCTAGGGATTCGGGTTTCTACCCCTTTGGAATTAGGAGACACAGACCAGCAGATAGGTAGGTAGGGTTTTGGGTTTCTACCCCCTTGTGTTAGGGTTTTAGGGTTTAGGGTTTTTACAGGTTGTCAGATCGGCCGTATCTTTGCACTTTCCAGACTGCGGTGGGGGATGGGCTTCCGCGGGAATACCACGCTTGACCCTGTATGGGTGTGGCATTGATGCGAGGGATGCCGGATCCAATTTGCCTGCCGCTTATGATGTAATGTTCGGACGTCTGTTAGTTATGGGTCAAAATTCAATATGGTGTTTGAGGAATCTTGAACCCTCGCATCAAACACTCCCTTCCTGGAAAAGTGGGTGGCCTCAAAAGGGTTCATTTGGTCGTATGGGAAAAAAACATACTGAGGGTTCATTTGGTCGTATGGGGAAAAAACATACTGAGGGTTCATTTGGTCGTATGGGGAAAAAACATACTTTGGGGCACACCTCGTGTACATTTGGTCGTATGGGGAAGAAACATACTTTGGGGCACACCTCGTGTACGCCACTTCGGCACGTGCGGCGCATAGCGCATGCGCATGACTGTGTGGGCGCGTGGTGTGGTGCACCCCCCAAAATAGGGTTCATTCATTTTGGGGGGGGGGACGTGGGGTGTTATAGCAGGCCTTGTCTCTCATGCAAGAAAA